TCCCTTAGCAAAAGGTACTATTAAGAAAATGAAGGGACTAGCTATGGACAAAGAGAAAATATTCACAAACCAAACCATATTTCTGACAGAACTTGCATCTAGAATATGTGTTTTACAACTCTCAAAACTTAATAGGAAGAAATCAAACAAATCATTTAAAAATGAAGTGGATAAAAAGAATTGAGCAGATTTTAAGAAAGATAGGCAAATGGCACATATATACATGAAAGGTTGTTCATCATTAATTGTGTTAGGTAACTGCAAATTAAAATGATATATGTATCTATTAGAGGAACAAAAAAAGTAGAAACTAAAAGAAAGTAGGATTAGCAGTATGTATTCTGGTAAATTAGTGAAGGTTAAAAAATCTCTATTAAATAAAAAGGGACATTAGGTAATGTTATAAAGGACAAGCTCTAATAGTTATAATGAAATATATATGTGTCAGACGCTGTGAGAGTTAAAACAACTAAAAATGTCAAGGAACTGTAACAAAAGTGTAATCATATGGGAAATTTCAATACTGTCTCTTTCAGAATTATATAGAATAATAGACAAAAAGTAAAGAATATATGTAAGAATATTATGAAGTATTGAGTTATAAATTTAAATAAAATATATATGTATATATATAGGCATACATACATACATACACACATACATACATACACACGTATGTATATATCTTACTTCTTTTTGCATTCCTTCTATTTTTTCATGTTTGTGGACCATAGATTTAAAAAATATCCCATAGGGCCCTCCTTGGTGCCACAACAGGGTAGGATGCAGCACAGCTAGCTAGCTGCAGTGGCTTCAGTGCGAGTAGGATCACTGGCCACCTGGAGGTGACCCACACAGTGCAGCAGACCTCTTCTGACCCGCCTGCTGCTCCCCTCAGCAGTGTGCTTAATAGATCTGCCTGTTCTGTGCCCTGCTCTGCCACTGGTGAATCCTCTCACCACCCCTGGGCCTGTACCCCAGTTCTATATGCATAAATAAATAAATCTTTAAAAAAAAAAAGCTAATATATTTTAAAATGAGTTTGCAGGTTACATTTCTGTTGACAAAATTTAGAAACAAATTATTACAATTTAATAAACCCTGCATTAATGGGAAATTAGAAAACATAAATATGAGATAACCTGTGTTTCAGAAAGGAACTACAAATTAGCCAAAAGTTAATAAAAAGGAAGTCATATTATAACAATATCTATAGAATATAGCACAACTACAATCAGGGAAAATATTTAGTTTAAAATAACTTCATGACTACAGAAGAAAGACAAAAAAATTAAAAGAAATTAGTTCTTATTTAAAGAACTTGAGTTGGAGGCTAGTAGAAATTATTGAAAGAAATAACTGAAATTAATAAAATAGAAAACAAAAATATGGAAATGATAAATGCACACACAAGCTTTTTCTTTGATCAGATCAATGAAATAGCTAACCCTCGTAGAATTTTAACTAATGAAAAAAGAACAAAAACTAGAAGATTTGGAATAAAGGAAGATAGAACCAATACAGAAAAATGATTTGGTAAGGTAAGAGACTATATCCTGCCCGATAGCAGCTCTCTTGAAAATTTAGAAGTACATGATTTACTAGTAAAATTAAATTATGTGACTCACCACATGGAAGTTAAAACTTAAAAGATCAATTACCACAGAAAGGATGGGAAGATGATTAAATATCTATCTAGAAAATAAAAAAGATAGCAATTTATAATAGCAGTATTTACACTGACCAAAAATGTGAAAGCCACCCAAATACTTATCATCTGATGAATGGATAAATGATATGTGATATATCCTATTATGGAAAATTATCTACTCACAGATAGGAGTATTTAGTTGTTAATAGGAGTTAGGTACTGATACTTGGCTACAGTATGGAAAAACTTTGAAAACCTTCCATTTATATGAAGTGCCCTGAAGAGATTAAAAGCATAGACTTAGAAAATAGATTACATGTTTTGGAATTAGAGAGTAGTAATGATTGTACAACAGTGTTACATTTAGAATGGTGAATTTAATGTGTATTTTACTGCCACTTAAGAGGATACCAGCCAAGTCTAATCCAGTCTTTAAAATCAAATAACTGTAGTTATTTTTATGTAGCCACTATTTTATTATCTATACCTACATGTACAAAAAAGGAAAAGTAATTCAGTTTACTTTGCTACTCTGTCTTTATCCTTTGTCTCAAAGATGTTACCACTGTTTGCTTAATGAATTTCATCATCTATTAAATTTAGGGAGTTCATTTCAAAGTAGGCATCTTTGCTATTTCTGACCTGCACTTTAGATAAAGATAATACCCTTTGGACTCTTTCAATGAACTTAGTAAGGGGGTGGACAAACCAGTTACATATAATAAATCCCTTCCAGTTTTCCATCTACATGGGCCTTTGATCTTCCTTTAATGTATATGAAGCTCACTAGCATCTCATGTAAGTAGGTTACTGTTGCATCCAGGTTTGCGTTCACTTGTTTAGCATACTATTAGGACACTCCCAACTATCAATGCTAATATACTGATATTTGAAATTTTTGGAATTTCTAGAATTGGATCTATATCAGTAAATTATTTTCTTCTTGAAAATCTTAGAGTTCATTCCCATGCATGCTATTTAGGGTTCTATTAATAATAAAAATTGGTAAAATATTATAAAACTTTGGTGTGAGAAGTAGCTGCTCTTGGATCAGATTTTATATTCATCTCCCTGTCTGTGAGGACTTAAGTTTAATTGTTCTCGAAGGACCTAAGAGATTTGGTGGGATGGTCTAGAGGAGGTCTACATTCTCCTGAAAAGTGACTAGCTGACGTGAGGTCTTTCAGCATTGTGAAGCTAATCTCAGACTGGGAGGTAGGTTAGGATTGCTTTTGCTGACAAGGGAGATTTGTTAAGGTTGGAGTTTTGTAGTACTAAGATGGATAAGAAGCTAGCTAAAGTTCCAATACTAATTCAAGAATTTTTTTTTTACACCTAAAAAGTCTAACGTAACAGATGTAGTACTGTGAATTCATTCAGTTCGCTATGTATTTTGCAATTTAACTTCTAGCAAGACTAGGCTTTTTGAGTTTGTTTTTTAGAAACTTCAGTCTTTTACCTAGAAGAATTAAGAAACATGTAGGGGTCATTCAGAAGTTGTCTGTTCTCTCAGTGTTGAGCTGGGAACTTAGACCCTGAGCTTGTTATATTCTATAACTTTTAGTGTAAGAAGGAGTAATCAGCTCATTCTATAGTTCTTTTACTCTTGTTTACACCATAGCATTCTACTGATACAGTTATTTGTTTTTCTAAAGCTTTGCTTAGACTCTAGGGAACCCAAGGGCAGTGGTAAAATATAGCAGTTTTTCCATGGGATGTTATAGATTCTCAGTGTTCTTCTTGTTACTAGCATTGAAGTCAAAATTCACATCTAAGAAAGAGCTAATCCAAGATTTCTATCTTTAGGATCCCTTTTCTTGGAACCAACTCCTTTCTGTGCTACATTTTATTGATAGCAGGGATTGGTCAGGAAAGGAGAAGCTAGTCTATGTACTATGGGTATAAAGAGTTAAAATAAAATTAGGGAGTTCAAATAATTTGTAGGAAGGCCCGGATGCAATGTCCATGGAGGCTGCTGCTGAAGGTCAGAGAAGCTAAAGTTGAAAATCTCAGCCGGAAGCACTGTAGTGGGTGTTCCTTACATGCTCTCTGGGGGTCTGCTGGATTCCTTAATAATCTTTGTAAAGATTTGCTCCAGCATTGTGGTGGTTTGCACAAGCTTAGCTGGAAGCCACTGTGTTTCTCATCTGCCAGTGCATCTGCTACAGCTTCATTTGGAAAATGGTTTCCTCTCAACTTTTGCTGTTCGGATTTCATTCATGTTTCCATTGTCAAAGTCTTAGGATTCCTTTAGAGAAAGAAATTCTGACAAGTGGTTTCTAGCTTCTTTTTTGTAGTGTTGAGGAGATCTTAGAAGAGAGTGATGGTGTTTCTTAACTGACAGTAGATAGTTTGGCACTGAAATCTACATTACATTATATGAATGTGTGTGTACACATATATGCGCAAACACGTATATGCATGTATGTGTACAGACCTCATATGTGTACAGAGGTACACACACACATATACACACATCCATGGTTGTGGAAGGGAGGTGTGTGTGTGTCCAATCACATCCCAAAGGTGACTTTGGGTATCAAAGTAAATTAAATTATTTCAGATTATAGAGAAAGAGAGGGTAAGATAAAATTTTTTTTTAATTAACCTGGCTGCTTTATCACTTTTTACTTATTTTGAAAGTTTATAAATTTGACAGTAATTCTGCATAGCTTCCTAGTATTAGGAAAGATTTCACATCCTTAATGACTTGTTCTTTTTTTTTCTGTAGAAGTAATATAGTGAGAAGAACTTGTTCATTGGATTTAGAATAAAATTTGAATTCTGGTCTTGCTGGTTATTAGTTTCAGAGTCACTGTTTTCTTATCTTTTAAAATGGTAATAGTAGTGTTTTATTCACAGTTGATAGGGTTGAATTTGATAATATGTATAAAATACCATGCATAGTATCTGGCTTACAGTGAAAACTTAGTAACTGGTAGCAGTTTTTACCTAGTTTTTTAAATTAATTCTAAAGTACAAATACCTTCCTTATTATTATTTTTTAACACATGAATGTTTAACTAAAATGTTTCACTAAATGTTTAACTGGTAGCAGTTTTTACCTTGTTTTTTAAATTAATTCTAAAATACAAATACCTTCCTTATTATTATTATTATTATTATTATTTTTAAAAGATTTATTTATTCGTACAGAACTGGGGTACAGGTCAGAGATGCGGAGGGTGAGAGGATTCACCAGAGACAGAGTGGGGAGCAGAACAGACAGATTAAAGAAGTACACTGCTGAGGGGAGCAGCGGGCGGGCCAGGAGAGGTCTGCCCCGCCATGTGGATCTCCTCCGGGGCAGGCAGGAGTCGAACTCATGCGGAAGTGGCTTAAGCTTCTTTGTGCTGTGCTTTAACCCGCTGCGCCACCAGGGAGGGCCCTTTATTATTATTTTTAAACACATGAATGTTTAACTAAAAGCTTCAGGAGGCATTGCAGAGACTGTTTCTGGCAAATGGCCATTATATTCTACTACTCATTTTTTTGAGTATGTTGTCTTGCTCTTGAGAAGGCAATGGTGAAAGAACATTTGAAAAGACCATGGAACAATAAGTCAAGGACTAGATGACTGAAGACAGTCTGCTTTTTTTACTTTGTTGTCATGTGGTTCCTAGCCGAGGTTTTCAGTTGTCCCAAAATAGTCTGGAAAGGGATGGGACTTTGATATCTGGGGTGATTTTGTTTAAGGTGAGCTCAATTATTTCTACTATCTTGAGAAGTTAGCTGTTTTTATCTACATTTCATTACTTAAATTTCCATTTGTATCTTCTTAATGCTGCATTTGTTTGAGTTGACAAACCGTAAGTCTCTTTCTTTCATTAATAAGAATAATAATGAATCTTTATGTTAACTTAGTGATTTTGATAAATTTTTAAAGTCTATGATTGAGACAGTTATGTGAATATACAATTTAGTTATTTGTTTAATTTGTCATCATTAAACGGTATTTTAAACTAAAAACACTACTCGAGAAACATGTTTTTCTCTAATAACTATGATTGAAGGAGGAAAATTATAAATGTGTTTTTTATTTTAGGTCTTATGGAAGTGTATTTAAAGCAATACATAAGGAATCTGGTCAAGTTGTGGCAATTAAACAAGTACCTGTTGAATCAGATCTTCAGGAAATAATCAAAGAAATTTCAATAATGCAGCAATGTGACAGGTATAAAATGATTTTAAATTTACTTTCATTTTAACAAATTTATGTATAGTAAAATGCATTCTTTGGTCATCTGTTTAGGTTTACTTTCTAATTTTCTTTTCTAATCCTTCAAGGAAGACGAGGATAGATTTGTAGTAATCAGAGGGCTGCTTTAGCCCCAGTCATATCTATGTTCCCAACAGAAAAGAGAAGGGAAGAAGCAGGAAAGAACTTTCCTAGAAACTCTCAGCTTATGCTTTATGCATCGAAATTGAATCAGTTGGTGACTTTAAAACTGTTGATGTTGGAGAATCTGGACGCATTGTCACCCCTGGTCAAGTCAGGACTCTGTTGTTAAAACATCATAAGCAACTTTGTCTTCCAACATTATGTAAGTTCTGTATACTGAAAGCTCTTTGGTTAATGAAGTGATTGAATAATACTAGAGGAACTTTGTTAATTGGGTTTATCAATTTTGCCTTTCTTTATAGAGTGTGCTATATATTGAGATTGTATTGTATATTTCCTGTACACCTGTAGAACTGGAAATTTAAATGGTATGAATCCAAAAAATGCAAACCTAATTAAGCCATTCCCTGAATGAATATGGAATATATATATATATATATTCCTCAGCCTTCCAGACCAGAATAATTACAAAAATTTCCTTGACCTTGCTATTAATTTGGTCACTTGATTAGAACGTATTTTCTATAGTTGATGTGGAAAGGAAAGATTAGACATAGTATAAGGGTTTAGCAAGTGCTTAATACTTACCTGTCGCTATTATTTTATTCTTGTGGTTAAAAATAGTTCAGGGACTAGTGTGGTACTTCATAGATTTTAGCTGAGTGTGATTGAGGAAAGGCAGGATCTCAGATATTATCTGTTATGCATTTCTTCCCTTAAACTTAGTGCATTTTGGAACTTAGCAGCTCTTGCCCAGATTTCTGAAACAGCTTCCTATGTATTCATTTTTTGTTTTTTTCTTCTCTAGTCTATTCTTTCCTGAACCTAGAGGGATTTTTTTTTTAAAAAATGCAAACCTAATTAAGCCATTCCCTGAATGAATATGGTTGTATGACGAACATTATTGGTTGAGGAAACCCCATAGAAATGTAATTCTTTCTTTCATTATGTACTTTAAACTTTTTTTTTCAAGATTTATTTACTTATGCCCTGTACTGGGGTACAGGACAGAGGTGCAGGGGCAGTGAGAGGATTCACCAGAGACAGAGTGGGGAGCATAGTAGGCAGATCAACAAAGTACACTCTTGAGGGGAGCAGCGGATGAGACAGGAGAGGTCAGCTGCGCCAAGCGGATCATCTCGGTGACTGGGGATTGAATTCGCACTGCAGCCTCAAAGGGTGACCTGACTGACTGTGGTGGAGCCATCTGATGAAACACTGTAGTAAGGGTAGAATTTTTATTGTGGAAAAAATGGTTAAAAACACTTCATAGGGGCTGCAGCTGGCAAACTCCTGTACTGATGGGGCTGCAGCTGGCTTGTAGTGCTGCGTCCCCTCCCATTGTGCCACCAGGGCCCTCTACTTTAAAGTTTGAAGGGGAAAGGAAAGCAAGACTAAAAGGAGAAGGAAGTGTGAATGAAGTTCTAAAAATCTTGTATAATTTGTAGCATATTGATTTATATATAGTAGGTACTTATCAAATATTTGTTGAAAGAAATAGATAATTTATAAAAATGGTTCCTCTCTTTTAGATTTTACCATCTACATTATGAAGCTTTTTTTTTTTTTAAAGATTTATTTGTTCATACAGAACTGGGGTACAGAGATGTGGAGGGTGAGAGGATTCACCAGAGAAAGAGTGGGGTGTGCAGAACAGGCAGATCGACGAAGTACACTGCTGAGGGGAGCAGTGGGCAGGTCAGGAGAGGTCTGCCACTCCATGTGGTCACCTCCAGGGCAGGCGGGGATCGAACTCATGCGGAAGTGACTCAAGTGACTTAACCCTTTTTTCCACAATAAAAATTCTACCCTTACTACAGTGTTCATCAGATGGCTCCACCATGGTCAGTCAGGCCCTTTGAGCTCTGGTAGCATTTAAATTGTGTTCTACTTAGTTTGTGGTGCTTTGTGTGTTCCTTCTTTTTTGATTCTGTGAATATGGTTACTCTACCTCTTTTAGTTTAGTTTAATTTATTGTGTATAACAAACCCCTACAGAGTATTAATGGAAAGGCCATTCCTCCTTTTCAAAGTCTTCCTAAACATTTTGGCTATTATCATTCTCAAACCCTCAGTTCAGAAGTACTCTGTGCTGTTAATTTGTCTGATTTAAAGCAAAGATGAAAATTATTTTTCTCCAGCATTTTCAGAAGCCAAAATGAATGACAATTTTTAAACTTCATTGAAATATAGAGTGTATTGAAATTAAGTGTTAATACTTGACTAAATATATATTCCTTTAGATTTATATGAGATATTTTATTATTTATTTATTTAATTTTAAAGATTTGTTTGTGCATACAGAACTGGGGTACAGGCCAGAGATGCAGGGGCAGTGAGAGGATTCACCAGAGACAGAGTGGGGAGCAGAACAGGTCGACTGATGAAGTACACTACTGAGGGGAGCAGCGGGTAGGCCAGGAAAGGACTGCCGTGCTGTGTGGTCACCTCGTGGGCTGGCGGGGATCGAACTTATGCTGAAGTGGCTTTAGCTTCTTAGTGCTGTTTTTTAACCTGCTCTGCCACCAGGGAGGGCCTATGAGATATTTTAAAGGAAAATATTTTCATTTTGTTAAATAATAAGTGATATGCCAAAGCAGAGCCTTCTTGGGAATCTCTCAAAACATTTGGGCCCCTTCTGATTTGTAATCCTGTTAAATTTCTTCTATTAATTTAAGGCAGATTATACACAGTTAGTGAATATTACAGATAAACAATTTAATATATAATAGAAGTTTACTTATTGGAGCATTATGAAATGTTAAAAATTTGTATTAGGATTAAGATACAAATCTGAAGAAGAATGAACTAAGTTTAATTGTCTCTATATTTGTTTTAGCCCGTATGTTGTAAAGTACTATGGCAGTTACTTTAAGAATACAGACCTCTGGATTGTTATGGAGTACTGCGGAGCTGGCTCTGTCTCGGACATAATTAGATTACGAAACAAGACAGTAAGTATTTTTAAATTGTTTAGCTAATCTTATTTCTAAAGATTTATATTTTAGAATTTTATTAGGTAATATTTTGTTAGAAAACATTATTGTGAAGAAAGGATTTTATACTATGAAAGGATCTTATGTGAGAGATATGAGAACTAGCCATATATTTTTGTATGGCAATTTCAGGAATTGTGATTATTTATTTTTTGGTACAATTTTTGTTAAGTCACTGAGAAGCCACCATGGCACTCTTCTTTTTTATTTATTTTTATTTTTAGTTTTTAATTTTTTTGTTTTCTTTTTCAAAAGATTTATTTATTTATTCATATAGCACTGGGGTACAGACCAGAGGTGCGGAGGGTGAGAGGATTCACCAGAGACAGAGTGGGGAGCATAACAGGCAGATCGACGAAGTCCACTGCTGAGGGGAGCAGCGGGCGGGTCAGGAGAGGTCTGCCACGCCATGTGGTCACCTCCGGGGCAGGCGGGAATCGAACTCATGCGGAAGTGGCTTTAGCTTCTCAGTGCTGTGCTTTAATCCACTGCGCCACCAGGGAGGGCCATGGCACTCTTCTTTTTTATTTAGAATTAGTGTTTAGATTCTTTATATAGTTAAATAAATCATAGTTAAAATTTTCTTGAAAGTTCATAATATTCATGGTATTACTTTATGTATATCATAATACATGTTACATTATATCCTATATGATAACCTGTGACTTGTAGACAGTTGAAATTTTGCTTCTAAACTTTAGAAAAAATTGAAAAAAATTTTGTCTTTATTTTCCCAAGTATTGTCAGAATGCTTGAAAGTGATAGAGTGAGACCATAACTTTTATTTTTATTTCTGTAAATTTAGTTTGGTAAAATGTATTATTTAATAACTTTTATTGTTATCTTTTTAACTTCAAGTGAAGGAACTATTTAGAAAATTGCTTAGTTTAGCTAGCAGTACATCAAGTTTGCTTGATAATTTATAAGAACAAAAGTGACATTTTTATCTGTGAGTGACTAAGAATAATCAGTGAAATAATTTGTAATTTTGTAGAACTGTAACCCAGTTACTATGACATTATTATATGCTGTCAGACATGTTTCAGTAAAATACATTCAAAAAAATATTTAACTACATGAGTCAATTTGTGGTTAACCAGATCATTTTCAATTTTGATTGGGGAAGTACATTGTAAGTTTAACCTACTTTTTTCTTTTTTGGTTAGAGAAAATAAAGTAAATAGTATTTCTTTTAAAAGGAAACAAAACAGATGTTAACATTATCCCTGCTTTGAGAATGAATTAAGTAAATTGTGACTTTCTAACTATATATTTTAGAATTTTGATGGCACCTAACTAGCATTTCTGTAAATCAGATGATTCTTCAGTTGCAGAACAGTGTTTTAATTGGAAATAATTGTATTCCAGTTAGAGAAGTTTTTAAAAACCATTTCAGGACTAAAAATGCATTGGGTATTTAAAGTTACCAAGTAAAAATACAAAGTAAATGTGTGTGAGATAAAAAAAATTTTTCTTGAATTTAAATGTTAATGTTAAGTAATTTTGATGAGATAGGAAGTAGTTTGTCTAAGTACTTATTCCTTGTCCATAATTACAAACTTTAGGTAGTCTGTGTTTTTGTAAATCGATATAAGCAGGATCATTATCATCAGGAATCTCTTTTATTACTTGTCAGAGTAAATATTTTGTTTTAAGCTGGTCACATAACCTTTTAGAACACAAATCAGTAATCACATTGAGAAGTCAACCATTTGGAATATTCTACTTGTTACTCTCACAAAAATGTTAATTCTTGGACTTAAGGTGGCATGGGAGAGTCAGATTCTTAGATGTGAAAAAAGATCCTAGAGTTGTGAGGTTACAGTCTCTGGGTAGTTGATAATAGCTCTTGTTAAATCTCAGCATATTTGTATCTTAAGTTTTCTATCATTTGTGTACTAATTTAAAAAGGCTACCATTGTGTGAAGGTTAGCAACAGAAAAATATGTATCATCCTATTTTCTTAAAAATGCTTGGATATTGTAAATATTTTCCTATTTTATAGAATGTTCGCCTGAGTGATACCCTTGATTATCTGAATTTCAGACATGTGGCTGACTTTCAAAAATGTGAACAATGAAACTTATCTTTGTCCCATTAAAACTCCCTCAAATAGTTAATTGTTTTATGGTCACAGAGCAGTAAGTCTTTTCCTTAGTGTATGAAAATCTTATTTTTTTTTTTTTAGTGCTTGTATACTCCGTTGTTTTTTGTCATATACTTTGTTTCTTCTAACTCACATTTTAAGCAGCAGAGATTTCATGTTGTCAGTGTTTATGTTTAATTTTTTTTATTGCTCTTTATTCTTTTCTGTGTTTCTCCGTTTTCTGAAGAACAATGGCCTTTAGCAGTTAGTGTTTCCTTGTGTATCAGTATGATGCTGATACAAGTTCAGGATGCTGATACAAGTTCAGATTTTTTTGGTATAAAAATGTTATTTCACTTCATTTTGAATGATGTACTTGCTGGGTAAAGAATTCTAAATTGGCAGGTTTTGTTTTTTGAGTCTTGATTTCCTGATTTGTCTTAAGAAATACTCTTGGAAAGCCACCTAAGTAACACATTTTGTATAGGATTATGCTTGTGTCTGAAAGAAATCTCTTCAGGGATAAAGAAGGGCTCTTGATTTTTAATCATATGACTAAGTTCTATAACTTTTCAAAAATACTTATGTCCACTCGTTTTAGCCTTCTGCATAATGTTTATGTTTGACCCCTCCTATCTGTAGTTCTGTAACATATATCACTTTTATTATGCTTTTAGACTCTAGCTCCACAGTTAGAGCTTCTCCTAAAGAAAAAACTGCATTGGAATTTTGGTGTTTTTGTTTATGCTACTGCCTTAACTAACCTCTTCTACATCTTTGAGTGTTCTTCTGAGTGTTTGTTTAGTTAATTTGTATCTATAGAGCACCAGCTCAAATATCATTTCCTTTTTAAAACTTTCCCTACTTACTGGGATAATTTTTATTTTGTTGATGATTAAGTAATTATCTTTATTGCATAGCCACTCTTAAAGAATAGAATAAACTTTTAAAATGATATGCAGAACATATCATTTACAGTCTACTAGGTAGATTGAGCATATTTCATATGTGTATTTGACATTTTTTAATTATAATTGGTAGACACATTATTTTAATTTTAGGTGAGCAATATTGTATTGCCAGGTTGCCTGATAGTTTGCTAATATTATATGAGCACTTCACATACCATTTTAAAAGTTATGAAAACAGTCATTTGATTGTTATCATAGACATTAAGGAAGGGAGTTTAAATTATCTCTTTCATAGTTTTTACCCAACCTGAGTTTTTCTTTGGGAAACATCTAGGAAAAGGCATGTACCGTGAAGTTTGGTTTAATTAGGCATTTTCTAGTGCTTGGAATTGAGATTGGAGTAGTGCTTGGAATTGTGCCTGTTTAAATGCTGCTGCTTAACATGGGGCAGATCACAGAATTGGCACATGCACTGATAAAAAAATATTAATAGTAGAATTTGTATTAGAAGTCAGGTAAAGTGGAATTCTAGTGGACAATAACAGTTTCTCTGAGTCTTATGGTTGCATATGAGTAAAAATCACTAGTTAGTATCTAGTGAATGTTTTGGTTTAAATGTATTAGAATACCTATAAATAAATAATTTAAGTTAAATTCCTTATTTCTGTAATCAAGCCCACAAATGCAGGTCAAGTCCTGATGTCTTACATATTTGTTAACTGATTTTTTTCTACATTATTTTAAACTATCTTTTAAGTCTGGTGAAATGTATATATAGATAACTAGCTGTGGTATTCTGTACTTAGAAATCATATTAGATAGTCAGCTTTTAGTGTTTTTAAGAAGAGTAGTTGCAGTTGCCTTCCCCTATTATAAGCTACTCAAGGGCAGACATTTTAATATGTGTTGTAAATGTTACAAGTGTCTGGAATGGCTAATGGATCTAGAAAACCCTTCATAAATATTTTTTGAATTAAACAAAATCAGCTCCCCTTTTGGTGAATACAAAACAACCCTACCTTTTCAATATTATATATGTATATATATATATATTTGTAGGTAGCTGAAATTTGCATGGCTACTAATATTTAGTATTAATAATGTAGGTTATTGCATACATATCACCATATATATAAAAGACAGGCCATAAAAAATGTGTTTACTACTAACCTTGGAACACATGAAATAATAGCACCTGTTTGTTACATTGGTTTCCTGATTTTTAGAAAAGCTATATACATATTAATTAAAAAACTTTTTGCTTATTTTTTCAGATGTCTGTTTTGATAATGTTAACTATGGGCTTCTTTTAGATGGTAAAAGAGAAGCCTACTTTTGTTGTTAATGGAAGTTAATGTATGCTTTTTTTTTTTTTTAGTTTAAAAGGATACGTGTAGTACTTATGAGAAAACAAAACATTGGAACTTTCCTTGTTAGCAATTAATAAACATATTTAATAAAACACCGTTTAGCATCTCTAAACATTTATGTATTTCAAGTATTAAATTCTGTAAAGGAGAAATATACAATTCTGTGAAATTGAAGCTCTTTAACAATAGATTGTATTTTTGATTAGAGACTTTCAGAATGATCCTTACCTAATTGTAAAGTTATGTCTTGACATATGGAAGAAATAGAGTCCGTGTCTTATACACTTATTGTATACTTGGAAATGTTCTAAGAAAATGCCTAAGGTTATTCTCTCCATTTTGGCTCATATTTTGATTTTACCACTTATTTTAATTTAGCCTCGCACTATGAATTTTATTTTGACTCTAGTTTTATGACCTAGGGAAATCATTAACTGTCTAGGACTTGAGCTTCCTCATCTGTTAAATAATAAGTAACATTTGTGTTGTGCTTTACTTTTTATTTGGCAGTTTTGTTTATATTTTAGTTAAAGGAAACTTCAACACACTTTTTTGAACTAAGACCAGGATGATGCAGTAGAAGTACAAATT